CCAGGAAGAAGTGTTCTCTTGCCAACAAAACACGGTTTAGGTAGGAGTTACGCTAGACCTGCAAGATTTTCTGTATCAATATATATATATATATATATATATATATAGCGTTCTTCATTCATCGTTGATCTCGTTGCTCTTGTTAGTAATATACTATACTATATAACTATATACTTAACTATACTACTATATGCTATATACCACTACTATATACTTAACTATACTGCTTAACTTACCATATTAAGTAAATAAAGGCATAATTATCCAAGTTTGAGGGCACTGACTTCAGCACCTATGAAGGTCAGCGTGATTGGCAAAAGGAAGGAAAGAGGGAACCACGAGCGGGAAACTGGTCACTAGGTTCAGGTCGGTGTGTTATGTTTAACTGGTTACTCATTTCATGTTCAGCTCAATAAATACCAACAGTTTATAAAAGTGATGTGGTTGTTCACCGACACAGACAGAGAGAGAGAGAAAGAGAATATGAGGAACAAGAACTATTGCAGCATCAGTGGTCACGCCTATACTTCACCTCCAATGCTTTATTGAAAGGTCAAGCTCCATCAGCTGAAGAGCTGCAACAGGTTTAGCCCTAACAAGGTTACTAAAACTGGTAAGATAGACATTTCCAGCAAGAAACCAAGCTAAGGGTAAGCTAATGCAGGAAATCGCCGTCGTTCCAGTAATTTACTTCCAAATTGGCATACCTCCTATGAGTTCTTACTTGAGCGTTATCTGCAAACCGCGCGTGAAGATCCTGTGGCGTATTTCATCAATTTTGGATTAAACCCAATAAGCCGATCAGACAAGATTCCAATAAATATACTACAACATAGATCACTTTCGAACTTAGTTAGAATCATAGAAATCTACAATCATATTTATTCTGAACGGCACAAAGAACAATCTTAACCTTTTTATTTACTGCCTATTCTTTTTAACCGCAGGATATGTTGCGGAATATAACTTTTATAGTGCTGAGATATTTGCAAAACTCCGGACAGCAGGTGTCTGCGGTGGGGAACGAACGCGCGCTGTTATCCTTACCGGGGTGCAGCGCACTTCACCACCACACCATCCGGGTCCTTCGTTTTGCCTGTCTCTCAGCTAGTTCTATCGATCTTTTTGCCATCAGCTCACCCGTTAACGGGATTGATCTGTGGAGCCCAAATCGACATTGGACCCAGTTAAGCTGAGGACATAGTTATAATAAAAAAAGGCTATAACTATAGCCTCAGCTTAACTGGGTTCAATGCCGATTTTGGGCTCCCTGGATTAATACCGTTGACGGGTGATTGATGATGGCAAGTGATCGATTAGAGCTAGCTGAGAGACAGGCAAAACGAAGGACCCGCATGGTGTGGTGGTGAACACGCTACTCTCCGAAAAGGACAATAGTGCGTTCGTTCCTCACCGCAGACACCTGCAGTCCAGAGTTTTGCAATTATCTTAGCATTATAGATGGCACAAGGAACGTCAAGACGGGCGACGCAGCTTCAACCTTCAAGAAGGATCTCGTATTTAAGGCTGAAATGGAATACTCATAAAAAGTGCAATTGGTAGACTGGTCGTGTAATGAGAAAGGTTAGTGACAACATGAACAAGTGGAAGTAGATGAATAAGAAGTACGAAGTACTAAGAGGGTACGAAAGTCCTCTACGGCAACCACAAGATGGGCCCACATGATTGTGGTTCACAATATTCAGTTGTATGCACAATGATAAATTACGTAGATCTCGGAATGTCTGCCGTAAATAACAATGTGTTCGAAAAAACTATCGCCATGGAGGATTGCTAGGGAAATAGAGGAATGGAAAATGAATTCGGATCGGCAGGACTCATGAAGGCAAGATATCCCGGATTCTCACTGCATGTGACTAAATTATAGGTAGTGTCATTCAACGGAACTCATTTCAGAATAAAACAACAAAATTTTAAGGAAAAATTCTGGTTGAAAGGTAGAGTTGCATTTCAAACTCTTTTTCAAAAAAAAATATTGTTGCCTTTTAAATCAAATAAATTTGCAGCGTATATGCGTATATATGAGAGGTATTCACCTAAAGATAGTTGATATTCAATCTTAAAGTCGTTCCTTTCTTTCTGATCACAAGAGCACTTCATAGATTTGTTTTATTAAGAAAAGGCACCGTTTAACAAATAGCATTCGAGACGCATTGCAAGGACACATG